GAAATTTTTTTCGTTTAAAGATATAATATATAATATGCACTAGGTATGGCACATTCAAATATCTTTTATTTAACAGAACTATTAGACCAGATTTTACGTTTCTTAGCAATAGATAAATCCCTCTATCCCACTCTTTTTTATTTTCTAATTGTAGTACAGATGTGGTGCCCCTATTTTATGAAAACGCATTGAGCTAAAGGGGAATGATCTAAAATATGGCCATTATTTCCCAGATGGTTATACTTATCATGAGAAAGATCGTACTCGATAAAAAAGATTTATAAAAATAATAAATGAAAAGTGTAAGCCAGCTCATGTCTTAAATGTAACTCATCTAGAAATTACTTATTGCCATTCACTATCAGAAAACAAAACAAAAGATATTGTGAATACCTTTCCAAATATAATTTATTTGAATTTTAAAGATAGCAAAAGTTTCAGTGATAAAGTGCTATCTATAATAAAGGAAGCATATCCTAATTTGAGATATCTCAAACTGTGGGATGCCTAGACAATATCTGATAAAAACTTATATGCAATTGTATGATCATGTAAATTAAAATATCTAAATATTTCGTACTGCAGAAATATTACTAATAAATCTTTGTTTGAAATCGCAGAAAATTGTTATGATTTACAAGAGTTCCACTTTGCTGAAGCATATTGGATCACAGATAAATTTATATATTACATCATAAACTTGTGCCCAAATTTACGAAAACTTGATATTGCATTTAGCAAGAGGAAAATCAAAGATGCTAGTATGTTAATACAAAGATGTTTTAGTATAGAGTATCTTGTCTTTAGTGGTGTTATGGCTTTTCGTAATGATGCATTAATTGTAGCTATCATCAGAGCATCTTCGAATTTAAGATATTTAGAGATCGGCCATAATGATATTGGTGATGAAGTCACTGAAGCGCTGGCCCATACATGTTATAAATTAGAATATTTCAACCTAAGTTGTTGTTCATTTGTTAGTGAACTATCAATTTGTAATGTTATTCATTCCTGCCCAAAACTCCAGTATCTCAACCTTAGCTTTTGTAAAATTTCTAATATAATTATTAAAGAAATTGCTCGTTCATATCTCTATTTAAAATTTCTAGATTTGGAAGAGTGTAAAAATATTAGCAAAAAAGATATAGATCAGTTAAATTCAAATATTCACATAAAAAATTTTGATGAAGATTACTACTATTTCGATTCAGAATCTTCTAGCTCTAAAACTGAATCAAAGTCCGAATCATCTAGTTTTGAGTTAGAGAATGAAGTTACCTATTATAATAATCTTCCTCATCTGATGATTATGAACTCACTCAATAGCTCGAATAATTTTATTAGCATATTTAGTGATTTTCTTAGACAGAATGGTAGTGCTAATAATAATTTTATTTCTGCATTTCTTAATCAGGAATTAGCACAATGCTCTTTGGCCAAGCAATGGTACTAACTAGTTCGACATCCCGGAGTAATGAATAGTTATTATATTAATCCAGAATATAGCTTATCAGCTTGGAAGATTTTTTTGCTGAGCTACAATGCATGTACTCCTGTGCGACAAAAAATAAGTAGATCGCAAGACAGGTTCGATATTAATTCTGCAATCAATAAATAATTAATCTCATAACTTTTTTCCAGAAAGTTCCAGTATAATACATATTACAAATCTTTGAATTAGCATTACTCAATGTCCCTAGTGTTAGAATAAGATAAGAATAGAAGTTTGTATCTCTAATTTGTGAATCATTCATGATAGCTAGTGAAGATCGATCAATTTTGTCTATACTAAACAATTCGCAAATAAACTAATCACCAAATCTGAAATTAGTAGAGCCAAAGACCTGATACTTTGTATTATCTAAAATTATTTTTTTTAGTCAGAAGAATATACTATAAAATAAGCTAAGTATAAGGGATTTTATTATGTAAAACTTATCTGGTTATAATTGAAATATGTTTACCACTTCTACTTTTGCACCATCTACTCTCATTAATAACATCAAAAATCTCACATATAATATTCTAAAAACCTTCAAGGATAGTATTATTAAGGGTAAAAAAATTACAGAACTGGGGCCATGCTCCAAATAGAGCAATAATCTTTTAATATCTTCTCTCAAGGCATTCATATACCTAATATGCAGATATCTTTTTCATAGACTCTATATTGAAAAAAAGCTTTTACTTACTGTTTCAAACACATGTCTATTCCCGGGTTGTGGAAAGAATGTGGAAATATTAGATCAAGCTAGTCCCCTTGGCACTGTTTCCAATTTGCCGTTAACTGATTCCAAGGAGGCCTCCCAATCAACTGGAATTTCACCTTTGATAGGCAAAACATTCATCCTATCTTCACCTATATAGATAGAAGAGATTGAGGGTATGACAACCTAACAAGTTGAAAGTAATTTGGGGTGTGCCAAATGTTCTGAAGATCTTTCTTCATGTCTTCCACCTATAGGCTTTCTTTGGTTCTCTCTTCAACTTCAAGGTTCCTTGAAACCACTTATATACTTAACCTGCAAACATATCATCCATTACAATTGTATCGATAATTCACGAAAACTATGTTCTATATGTCTATTAACTAATATGGAACTGGAAGAGGAAGAAGAAATGAGCATTGATGGCAAAGAACAACCTGATACTAGCAGTAAAAAACATTCCAATAAAGATACAGATGTCAACTCATCTACGCCCAAGAAGAAGGCAAAGAAAGCAGTTAGAAGAGAAGATTCGCCCATTTTGAAAAAGCTTATCAAGGAATTGTCTGCTTCAATTTCACAGCAAAGCTCTTCTGGTAGTATTATTTCTCTACAGACATTCCCCGATATGGATATTAGCTCGGTTAATTTTTGTGAACTAGATAATAAGATCATCAATGCCAAAGATGGTAATAAAAAAACTATTCTAGAAGTGATTTATGCATATTATTATTTTGGGAAAGGGTATAGGTTATGGTTTGACTATTATAAAAAAACATATAGTAAAGATATATCCAATTCTCTAGTTAATAATAAATCGGGAGCACTTTCTAGACCAGGACAAAGTTTTAGAGGCTAATCTTAGAAAAAGGAAGAAAAGGGCAATAAAAATCTTTAAACTTTTTGATAGGGTTGGAGAGAAAGAAAAGATATATTGTATTAAGTTTTTTTCTGCATTAACTATT